CAGTAGAGTGCTAGCCTTAAGCCAAAGACGCTCAAGAGTCCAGGCCCAGAGTTCAAGTCCTGGGCTAGCAAAAAAAAAAAAAAACTCCCAAGGTTTCTTATTCAGTATGCCACGTAGTTCATAGGGAAGTCTTTGTGGCCTACTCTGTGCTAGGCACTGCTAAAGTCAGAGGCAACAAGACAAAGCCCCTGGCTGCAGGCAGCTTCCATTTTTTTAGAAGCTCACTGTAAAAAGTGAAGGGGCCAAGTCTTTTTTGCTTTCAGCATAAAGTTGTGCTCTACAGAGCCTTGCGTCTCTCTTGATCTTCCTTTCTGCCTGGGCCCTATGTCATGTGGAGGGCTGGGAGCAGTGTCCACTTCAGGGCCTTTGCATTTGCTATTTCTTTGGATGAAGATATTCTTCCGTCATACATTCATGTGACTTCTTCCCACGTTCATCAGATCCTGACATGTTGGAGACCCTCGTCTGATGCCACCCCTGTGGCAAACTCCCCTGCTTTCATTTCCTTCAACTTTCTCTCTCACCTCTGCCTTCTGGTGTTACTTCTGATTTTGTCTCTTCACGGTTCTTCCCCTATGCCCCAGTTCTCCCCCATAAGTCTCTGGAGGGAAGGAGTTGCAGCTCTAATCCCAGAGCCAGCCATGCCGGGCTCCCATTGTGCTCTCTACAAATGGTACAGAAAGGGCTCACTGGAGCCGGGCGCTGGTGGCTCACGCCTGTAATCCTAGCTACTCAGGAGGCTGAGATCTGAGGATCGCGGTTCAAAGCCAGCCCGGGCAGGAGAGACAGTGAGACTCCTATCTCCAATAAACCACCAGAAAACCGGAAGTGGCGCTGTAGCTCAAGTGGTAGAGCGCTTGCCTTGAGCTGAAGAGCTGAAGGACAGCGCCCAGGCCCAGAGTTCAAGCCCCACGGCCGACCAAAAAAAAAAAAAAAAGAAAGGGCTCACTGGATTCCGCCAGTGGCATCCCTTGGTGTCCAGTGGCCTCCCATGCAAATGGTGATGCATCTGACCTGGTTTTCCTTTGTCCCTTCTGTCTTGCAGGTGGTAGATTCCCAGCTGGTGTGCATGATGAACGAGAACAGCATCGATTACATATCTAGGTTCAATGACCTGGCCCAAGAGCTGTCCATCACCGAGCCAGGCCGCCGAGAGGTTCTCTTTGATGGTGGTGGAGGTGGACCCCCTGTTGGCGACTTCTCCCAGTGACTGTGCCTCATGGAGAGGGCGTTCTGTATGAAGCAGGGAAAAGCTTATGGGGCTGAGGTTATCCTCACTTTTGACAGATGAGACCTTCCAACTAGAGGAAAGCAAGTCAAGCCCAGAGTCCCTAAAGATTGTCAGGACAGGGCACCTCTGCAGCTCAGCGTGTGCAGCACATAGGAACAGGTGATCAAGGCTCCATTCCATATGCAGAGCCTGTGATATCTCAGGGCGAGCTCTGAGAAGGGCTGACCTCAGAAACTGCCATGGTGTGGGAGCCTTTCCTTGTTGTATTGGGGCCTGGGCTATATGGGCTGGGCCTTCTAGAGTGTCTCCCTGCATAAGTCATGTCTGGCCCAGTTGACTTTGGAGCTATGATCTGTGCAGAACGCTATAGCCCCTGCTGTCTCCTCTCTGAAGCCCTCTTCCCTACGTGGCTGATCTTTGGAGATGACACCAAGAGTGGTGGTGGGCATAGCACAGACTTTGGCCACACATACTTTATGGATGCTCTGGTCATGTGGCAGAGAATGGTCCCCGGCCTATGCAACCAACATCATCTCCCAGAATGCTGACCCTTGCTTGAGTTTTCCCCTTCCAGTGGCTTTGATTGGCCTGGCATAACCAGAAGGGGGAAAGAATCATGTCTTATGCAGGTTGTGGACATTTTATAGGGTCCAGCTAAGCTGGTTGAAAATATTTCATGTTTCAGGAATTAGGAGGCATGGAAAAGAAAGAACAGAGTCCTTCCTCTCTAGCTGACTTCCTTCCAGTGTTCTCCAGCAAGTTCCTTTAAGTGACCTGAAATTTATTTTTATTGAGCTTTCTACCCTAAGCACACATTAATATGGCTGTAGTTACGGCTTCTTCCTGGCCCATTCTGTGGCAGACCTGCCTCGGTGGGGTTGATTTTCTTTTCCCCGGCATTGGTTCAGTGTACACGTAGCCCATGCGTTGTAATCTCTCGCATGTCTCTGACCCAGGACTTACTTCCTCCTTTTCAAGGACCCTGGCAGATTTTAGACTTCACCACTGTGTCCTCCTGGTGACTCCCTCCTGGAGCCCCACAGGGGCCCCTAGTTACTACTGCAGGTAGTAACTAGTGTCCAGACTTTTCCAAAATAGCGCCATCTTGCCTTCGCAGTTTGAGGAGGTTGATTCCAGCTCACAGATCACCAACTAACCATATCTGGCATGGCCAGGAGCCATGGCACTAGGCAGGTGAGACGCACTGTCTCTGCTCACCCAGCATGAACCCTTTCTCCTCCCTACCTGAAACTTCCCTCTTCTCCCACTCCCTGGTGGCCCCCAAAGCCAGCCTAAGCTCTCCGCCGACTTTTCTTCCCATCTGCAGCGACCCAGAGGGAAGAAAAGCCCCCTGTTGGATCTTGCCTCTGGCGGGAGTAGGGGGATCTCCCCTAGATTTAATTTTTGCCAAAAATAAATCCATATACTGGGGTGAAAAGCCACTAGATCTTACCTCTACAACACTCTAAATCTCACCAAGCCATGTGGCTACCCCTGACTACAGGAGTAGAGGGAGAGATAAGGACAGTGGCTCTAGACATCAGCTTCTTTCCTTTGCCTCCCTGACTGTAACTGGCTTCTCTCCTGCAAATCCTGACACTATGTGCAGCCTCCTTCCCTGCATCTCTGAGAAAACAGCTCCTGGCTGTGGAGGGGCTAGGGGAGAGTACCGCTGAATTAGCAGGTAGACCACAGTGTACAATGGCCATGCCCTGGCCCATGCTGTGCTTAGTACTGCGGCCTCCTGGAGTTGGCACTTTACTGAACTGAAGAAACCTCTTAGATGTCTAGCCCACTGCAAGTCAGGACACCAGGCTGAGCAGAGGCAACTGCCAATATCCTCAACACTCAGAGGGTCGAAGCCATTGACACCAGTAACAAGCATGGAAGCTAGCTGTAGCCTGGGGTATTTTATCAGGGCAGTTGGCATCCTGAGCTGTGTCCTGTCCTCTGATAGGAATATAACTTGAGACTAGGCTCTTGTATATACCCTATCCTGTTCCCAACCCTAGGCAGAGATGGCTTGCAGGAAAAACTGCTTGCCACCATTGTCACCCAGTGGCTGGCTGGCTCATTAAGTGGCGGAGTGCACTGATGAGTCTCCTTCAGTGAAGCCGACAGGATTCTGGAGGATTCTGGGGCTTTAGCAGCCAGACAGGTAGACATGTTTGGTTGCCATGATTTAGTCAAGAAAGTGGTGAATTTCTTTTCTCCTAGTCTAAGTGAATTTTGTCTATAAAATAATCTGGCAACTGCTAAAAGCTGGAGTTTTCCAAAGACCCAGCAGAGAAGCCCCCAGGCCTCCAGCCTCTGCATTTCAGCGTGGCTGAGGAGCGGGTGAACCCGGGGCTTGGTTTGGGTGTGGGAATGTGGGAGTGATTATGATGAGACAAGTTTTTGTTTTTGTTTTTTAAAGGAAATCTTTCCCTAATCTCTTCCCCTGATCCAATCCTTTGACTAACTCATCTTTCCTGCATATTAAGACCAGTTTTATTGGTGTTGAGGAAGTTGGTGTCTCTCCTCACGTGTTTGGAATGTGCAGTGATGAACATCACATCTCTGGGTGTGGAGGCAAGTAGAGTTCACACATCAGGTAGGGCCCTTGCTCAGGGAGCCGGAAGCTTGGGCATGGCATTGTTTGTCAGCATACTGCCCCGCACCTGTTTCTCAGCATGGGAATGCTTCATGTTCATTCCATGTGTTGGCCTCCTTGCTGGCAGGAGGGGGAGCTCCCTTTAGAAAGTTTACTGACATTGTTAGACCACCCCTAAAGTCTTTTAAGTCCGAATCTCTGCAAGACCAAGCCAGGGAAGTGGGAATGAGTACAACTACTTTTTACCACATTTCTGTCAGATGCATTCATAAGAAAATACCGCACTTTGTCTTAAAAACAAATCTTTTTTAAGCTAAGAAACCCCACAATACACCTTTCCTAGGTGTGGCCCTGATCTCCCAGTCTGTCCTAGGTCAGTCCAGTGTAGGAAGCACTACACCAGCCCGCCCCTTCTTCCTTGATGGGATCATCGGCTGGCGCTGCAGCCAGGCCACAGAACTCAGTGCTGTTTGCTTTAATAATCGTTAAGCCATATCATCTAAGGTTTCCGGCTTGTTTGAGATGTGAATTTGTCTTATAGATATAAATATACAGTGTATTATAAAGCAGAATGCCTGCCCTTCCTGATTATTTTTTGTACCATATTGTAAATTATATTATTTATTCTTTACCAATTTGGGGAATAAGGTGTTTTGGTTATTTAATATAATAAAAGCTGTTAAACTTATGTTTAAACTTCCAGTTCAAAATGTAAATGTTTTTATTGTGCATAAATACATACTAATACTTGACCTAACACGTGTCTTGTGCCGGTGTTTAGCGCCAGTGCGCCCTGGTGAGCCCCTGGGCAAGACCAGTGCAGTCCCTGGCCACCGGGGCTCGGCAGGGCTTCGGACAGTGCCTCCCTCCCAGCAGGTGCCCCCGCCCCGTCGGGGCTGGGAACCTCGCCTTCCACCCCACCCGGGGCGGGTCGGTGGCAGAGGGCGGGGCGAGCTGAAGGCCAATTCTCAAAGCGAACTCTTGAGCGGCGTCTGCTTCGGCCAATCCACTACCATCGCGACGCCGGCCCGTGCAGGCCTCCCTCCGGTAGGGGGCGGGTTCTTGCGGAGGGGGGGGGAGGCGTGAAGCCTTGCGCAAGGATAGGCTATGGGAGCGTGATTGGCACGCGGGAAGTCCAACGGGCGCGGAGAGGCCAGGATACCTGCGCTGGTTCGGGCGGGAACCGCGTCTCTGGCGCTGAGGGAAGCCCGGGGCGCGGACGACATGTTCCAGGGTGCGGACGGCGAGGTTGGCAGGCCGAGTTCCAGGTACACGGCCCGCGGGCCGGCGCGAGCGGCCAGGCTCGGCGAGGGGCGGCCACGTGGCAGGCGGGCGGGGCTGGAATTGTCCCCGATTCGGGCAGAGTCGTGAGCGGCTCCCCTCCGGGTGCGGAGCGCGCGCTGGGGCCGAGGGGCGCGGCGGGCGGCGCGGGCCCGGGAGGACCGGGGGCCGAGGGGCGCGGCGGGCGGCGCGGGCCCGGGAGGACCGGGGGCCGAGGGGCGCGGCGGGCGGCGCGGGCCCGGGAGGACCGGGGGCCGAGGGGCGCGGCGGGCGGCGCGGGCCCGGGAGGACCGGGGGCCGAGGGGCGCGGCGGGCGGCGCGGGCCCGGGAGGACCGGGGGCCGAGGGCCCGGAGGGCGGGCGGCGCGGGCCCGGGAGGACCGGGGACCCGGCGGCAGGCGGCGGGCGGCGCGGGCCGGGAGGACAGGGGGCCGAGGACCCGGCGGCGGGCGGCGGGCGGCGCGGGCCGGGAGGACGGGCGGCTGAGGACCCGGCGGGCGGGCGGGCGGGCGGGCGGCGAGGACCGGGGGGCGGGCGGGCGGGCGGCGAGGACCGGGGGGCGGGCGGGCGGGCGGCGAGGACCCGGCGGGCGGGCGGGCGGGCGGCGAGGACCCGGCGGGCGGGCGGGCGGGCGGGCGGCGAGGACCGGGGGGCGGGCGGGCGGGCGGCGAGGACCGGCGGGCGGGCGGGCGGGCGGGCGGCGAGGACCGGCGGGCGGGCGGGCGGGCGGCGAGGACCGGGGGGCGGGCGGGCGGGCGGCGAGGACCGGCGGGCGGGCGGCGCGGCGAGGACCGGGGGGGCGGGCGGGCGGCGAGGACCGGGGGGCGGGCGGGCGGCGAGGACCGGCGGGCGGGCGGGCGGGCGGGCGGCGCGGGCTCCCGAGCGCCCTGCGTTTCCCCGGCGCTCGGCGCGGCGCCGCGTGGCCGCGCCCCCGGCTCCCCCTCCCGACGCGGCGCGGTGGCCCCGGCCCGGCTCTCGCCGTCCGCGGGGCGTGGACCTGGGGCGCGGGGCCGGGGCTCCCCCGCCGCCGCAGCGCCGCTTCTGGTTTTCTGGTGGCTCGTTGGCGGTGAGAGGCTCGCGGACTCTCCTGCCCGGGCTGGCTTCGAACCGCGATCCCCAGAGCTCAGCCTCCTGAGAAGCCGGAGGGCGGGCTGAGCCGCCCTCTTCATTGCACGGCTCTGCCCGGGGTCGGGCGGGAGCCGCGGCTCTGGCGCTCGGGGCCGCCCCGGCTTCTCCCGGAAAGGAGCGCTCCTGCGGCTGTTGATACCCTTCCAGGTTTTTTCTTCAGATCCTCCACTTTCTGTTTTCATTCGCTCATTCATTTCTTGGTGACGGTGATCTCGTGGTAAGACTTTTCTACTTTTAAAGCAGGCCTTCCCAAGAATCCAAAGTCATTTACACTGTCATTTATTGTTTATTGATGGGTGCTGGTCCTGGGCATAGTCCTTGAGCATCTTCACACAAGGCTGATGCTCTACCACTTGAGCCACAACTCCACTTCCGGCTTTTTAGTGGTTCATTGGACATTGGAGACTTCCGGACTTTCCTGCCTGGGCTGGCCTCAAACCACTATCTCCAGGTCTCAGCCGCCTGAGTAGCTAATGTTTACGGGTGTGAGCCAACAGGTGCCCAGCTTTGATATTTGTGCAGGTTTGGACAAAGGCCATTTTCACATCTTCTCTCAAGCCTCCTCACCCGTCCCCAAAAGCTTCTCCAAAACAAGCGGTTGAGCAATTTTGAACTGGTCAAACGTGAACAGTTTTCTGCCTCTCCAGTCCCACAGTCCACCTGAGCATTCTTCCAGACATATGTCTCTTATTTCCTATATTGAATATCTTTACTAAAACATAATGAAAGGGGTATCACAAGAGGAAAACGTAATTGGTGCACACCATATTGAAAATTTGTCCTAAAGTATCTGAGCTGGCTAGCACTCCCCTCCCCCAGTCTCATTGTGGTAACTTCTGCTTGAAGCTCCCAGGAGGCCACACTGGGTCATTGTTGTAGGTCCTATTTTTATTGAAAGGCCTGTTGAACTCAGACCCTGCTTGCACTGGCGTGGCTGCTGGAGGCTGTGAAACCCGTTGTACTGGGCCCCACTCACTGCCTTTGTGATGGAGATAGCCTCAGACCAGGTTCCCAGGCCAGAACGTGCTCCAGCACTATACTTTCCTTTTCTATGCTTGTTTTCCAATGAAAGAAAAATCAGAATGTAACATCTTGTATTTCACCACCCCAGAAACGGTTCATTTGAAATAAACTGCCACTTGCCTCTTAGGTCTCTCCAGAGACAGCTTGGAAGTTGCCAACCTTCTTTTTTTTTTGGGGGGGTCCGGTCGTGGGGCCTCAACTCTGGGCCTGGGCGCTGTCCCTCAGCTCTTCAGCTCAAGGCTAGTGCTCTACCACTTGAGCCACAGCGCCACTTCTGGCTTTTTTCTTTTTGCTTATGTGGTGCTGAGGAATCGAACCCAGGGCCCCGAGCATACAAGGCAAGCGCTCTACCACGGAGCCACCTTCCCAGCCCCTGCCAACCTTCTTGTGCTTTGCTCTTACTCTTGCATGCAGCACAAACCTCAGACACAGCTGGTTTTCCCCTTAAATCTGAGGTTCTGGTCAAAGGATTTGATGTCACTCATCTTCATGTCTAGAAGGCTTCGTGCAGAGTTGCAGTGTTACATTATCTGAAGTTGTGTTAGAAGCAGAGGAAAAAGAGACTGTAAACCCAAGCATGTTAGACTTGCAACTAGGTAAGAAAAATAGGACAAATAACCAGAGCCGTGTGATTTGTAAGTGGGTGGGGAAACTTCATGGCTTTGTCCTCCAGCAATACACCTGTGGTTTTAATTCATAAATTTTTCAAGGAATCATTAACTGCTGAACAAGGCAGGTTTTTTGACACATCTGCTTTCCCCTTTTTGCAAGCAGATAGAGACCTAGTACCAGCTCAAAGGCCTGCCAGTATGTGCCTGGCATCTGTGGTGTTGAGTGGCCAGCGGAGGCTCTCTGTTGGGGCATGGGTGGCGCACTGTCTGCACTCCGAAGCGCATATGACTTCCTCACTTTCTGCTGTCCTCCCTTGTGGCAGACTGAATGCTCCATTTGTCAGCTGCTCCTTGTACTTTGGAGGGAACAAGAGCATTTTCATTATCCTATTCCTTTTAGCTCCACCATGAGCAACCCATGTCCCTGTGGATTTCCAGTGAGGCCTAACCTCCTCTTAGCTTTCACACACATAGTTTCAAGTAGTTGTAAGTGTCTGAGTCACTCCCATTTCTGAGGCCTTAGGGGGCCACACACTAGTTTAAGATTCAGTTTCTGGAGATTTCTTCTCTGGAATGAATTTTAAATCTAACTGAATGTCTAGAGAAGACACTCGCCCCAGATGCCATGGTCAAAAATACACAGTGGTCCTGTTAGGTGCTTCCATACTAGTATTGGGCATTTCACTGTGACACCAGACTTGGGCCACAGACTACAAACCCTGTAAGTCACACAAGAAGCAGTAGAATCGTAAGTCAGTTGGGCTGCAGCTCATACATGGACTGGACACTCTTGTACCTTTCTTTTTTTGGGGGGGCGGGGTCTGGTTGTGGGGCCTGATCTCTGGGCCTGGGCGCTGTCCCTCAGCTCTTCAGCTCAAAGCTAGCGCTCTACCACTTGAGCCACAGCACCACTTCTGGCTTTTTTCTTTTTGCTTGTGTGGTGCTGAGGAATCGAACCCAGGGCCTCAGGCATGCAAGGCAAGCACTCCACTACTGAGCCACCTTCCCAGCCCCTCTTGTACCTTTCTGAAGGGTTAACACAGGTCAAACCCAACCCCCACTGCAGGAGCTGAGCTCTACCAGGGCCCCAGGCCACTGTCTCTCGGCACTTGAATATGGGGGGGAGGAGGGGGATGTGCTACCAAGTGTCAGCTACTCACAGGGGTTGAGGCATGGAAAGAACAAAATATCTCTTTAATCATGCCTTTTAGGGCTGGGGATGTGGGGATGCTTGCCTAGCATGCATGAAGCCCTGGGTTCAATTCCTCAGTACCATATACACAGGAAAAAGCCCAAAGTGGTGCTGTGACTCAAGTGGTAGAGTGCTAGTCTTGAGCAAAAAGAAGCTTAGGGACACCAGGCCCTGAATTCAAGCCCCAGGACTGGCCAAAAAACAAACAAACAAAAACAATGTCTTTTATTCCATTCACACTCATTTCTTATAAAGTAGCTTAATTTAAATCTATTAGAATGAATTTCTGATTTGTTCTTTTTATAATGTGGCTCCTAGAAATGTGAAACTCCTCATGGTTTTTGTGTGTATGTGTTTGAAACATGGTCTCACTGTGTAGCACAGTTTGTCCTCCAACTCTGGTCCTCCCAAATACTGTTATCACAAGCAAACACTATAGTACCCAGAGTGGCTCTCATTTCTGCTGCCTACTGTTGGAGCCTGGTGGGAAAAATCACCATCACCAATCTGTTGATTCCTGAGACGTGTGCTTACCTGTGTTTACAGGTCCATGAAGCCCCCAGGAGGAGAAGCAAGCAATATTTTTGGAAGTCCAGAAGAAGCGATTCCTTCATGCAGGCCTAATAGGATGGCATCTAATATTTTTGGACCAACCGAAGGGCCTCAGAACATACCAAAGAGAACAAACCCACCAGGTATAGACCTTTGTAATTTTTATTTTTATTTTTTTTTCTTTGTAATTTTTAGTTGTGGGTTTTGTGGGGTTTATTTGCCTCTATTCTTTTCTGTTGTTCCTTTGAAAATAACTATTTCTTTTGTTTGTTTAGAGTCAGAGTCTTGCTGTGTATCCCAGATTACAAAAACTTTCAGAGTTGGTGGCTCACACCTATAATCCTATCTACTCAGGAGGGGTCCTGGTTCAAAGCCATCCTAGGCAGGAAAGTCCATGAGACCCTTAACCAATTAACCACCAGAAAACCAGAAGTAGCACTGTGGTTTTACCCTAAGCTTAAGAGCTCGGGGATAGTACTCAGCCCAGAGCTCAAGCCCCATGGAAACTGCCCCCCCCCCAAAAAAAAAAAAAAAAAAAAAACTTACAACAATCTTCCTGTCTCATTTTCCCTCGCTCTGAGATTAAAGAGAAGCTTACTGTGCCAGGCTTCTATTTCTTTCTATCCTCTCAGATATTTTCTGGTATATGTTATCCTTTGGCATCAAAGTTTTTCTAAAACTTCTCCCTTGTGAAGATGGCTTGAGCACACAAATCCCATCTACTCCTCAGACACTGACTGAGTGAGGATATTGAACTGAACAGTAGGAGTTTGGTTCTTGGACTCTTGGAAATTCTTAAGTTCCATGCAAATATTTATGCATTCAAGCATTTTTCTTTCTGTGTGTGTGACAGAGAGAGTCAGTACTGGGGCTTGAACTCAAGGAATTAACACACTCACTGGCATTTTTTGTTCAAGGCAGTCAGTCTACTGGCTTTTTGCTGGTTAATAGGAGATAGAAGAGTCTCATGGACTTCTTTGCCTGGGCTGGCTTTGAATCCTGATCCTTAGGTCTCAGCCAATCATTTTTATGGTGTTATTGACTTTCAGTGGGATTAAAACTGTGTAGACATCTAGACAGTTCTTCATTACTTGCCTACCCTAATGGTTAGAGAAGAAAATAATTTTTATTTTTGTAAGAAATTTTTAAGTTGGCTCATGCTGACCTAATGAGGAGGCTGAGATCAGGACAGGAAAGATCTTGAGTTTGAAGCCAGCCAGTCGGGGCAAACTCTTAAGACTTCAAAGCCAAATTTAAGACAACAAAGACAGGTCCCTATGGCTCATGTATATAACCTCAGTTACTCAAGAGGCTGAAATCTGAGTATCACGCTTTCCTGCCAACCCAGGCAGGAAAGTTTGAGACTCTTATCTCCACTTAACTACCAAAAAACAGAAGTGGAGCTTAATTAAGTGGCTCAAGTGGTAGAGTGCTAGCCTTGAGCAAAAAAGCTCAGGGATAGTGTCCAAACCCCAAGTTCAGGCCCTAGGATCTACACGTTCTGCGCATGGGCATACATACATACACACACACACAATTGCCAACAAAATAAGCTGGCTAAAGGTGTAGTTTAAGTGTTAGAGCCCTAGCCAGGCTAGCAAATCAGCTGAGCAAGTATGAGGTCATGAGTTCAAAAGACTTAGTTTAGTGTCTGTAATCTCTATTCTCTGGAGGTTGAGACAGAAAGATAGTGATTTTAAGACCAGCCCGGATTAAATAGCCAGACCCTGTTTCCAAAAGAAAGTGTGGTAGGAGAGAGAAAAGGAGAAGAAATTGTTTTGCTTATTGGTTGGTGGCTGTTGGAGTTGTTGGAATATGGTCAGCAGAAACGCCTGCAGCTCCTAGAGTGACTGATGTTCTCATGGTGTCCAGCTCAGGTTAGGGCCAGGAATGGTCCCCTCGGACCAGGACAGCAGAGCAGCTTGTGGTACGCAAGGTCATCTCAAGCCCAGGGTAGCTAGGTGAGTGAGAGCTGACTGTGGCCCTTCCTCAGCGGAGGGCCTGTGTGGTGGCTTATGTGTCTGTTGGGCTTCCTGGAGAGCTTGAACCTCATGCCCATGGGCACTGGAACACTCAAACGCCTGGTGGGGAGCCCGGACCCCGTGACCAGGGGCTCGGCAGCGTGTTTGAGGAGCTGCACCTGCCGCTCGCTGCCTGACCAAGTTTCTCATCTTGTGGCTCTGGAGTTTCTTTCCATCAACCAGAGGCTCTTGAGAATACTCCGAGAAGCCCCAGAGGTACAAAGGCAGAGTGTGCTCTCTCTCCCCCTTTCATTCGTCTTTCTTCCTCACTACTGGCTTGTCTAGGTCTTTACTGATTGTTTCTGTGTTTACCTGAGTGTGATGATGCTAAGTGTTTAGCATGTGGTTTTTCACCACAATTATAGGAGGTAGGCGGTAGTGTGGTCCTTTGACGATAAAACTTTCCTCTGTAAGAAGCTTCTGCAATAGGAAAGCACTGGCACGCCTGAGTCCTTCACCTACTTAGTGGCAGGAGTAGCTTTTGGATCTGAGTTTTCCTGCCTCGTGCCTGTGTGCTAACCTTACCTTCTGAATGCACCATCTGGATAAATCTCTTCAAATATAGAGTCCTGGGTCAACAACTTGCAAACATTCCTGTGGTTTATCCCTAATGTATATATGTGCTTGTATGTACCAATATAGTGGTTACCTTGCTTTTATTTTCCTTCAATTATGAGTGAATGTAGGCTTTTTCTTTTTCTTTTTTTTTCTAGTCTGGGGCTTGAACTCAGGGCCTGGGCACTGTTCCTGAGAACAGTGAGAAGCTAGCACTCTACCACTTGAGCCACAGCGCCACTTCCGGTTTTTTCTGTGTATGTGGTGCTGAGGGCTCGAACCCAGGGCTTCATGCATGCTAGGCAAGCACTCTACCACTGAGCCACCTTCCTGGCCCTAGCCAGCTTTTCTTGCTTCAAAGCTCAACTCCTCTTTCAAGAAAGATGTTGAGTAATAATAAGTATGTGGTTAAACTATATTGAAAGGGTAACGAGTGAGCGATTTGCATGTAAGCCCTCGGGGATGACCAGGAATGACATGATGGTAGGGGCCCCCTCTCTGCCTGGTGATCCAGACACCTTTGCTAGCAAGGCCAGAAACCTCACCAAGGGGTGCCTGCAGGACACCTGCATCAACTGTTTCAATTCAGTACTCACCTGGGTAGGAGTCTTATCTATTAGTTGAGAAGATAGGTCACTTGCCTAAGGTCACACAGTGAGTGAGTGACAGCAGGGACTCTGCCCCTAGCAGCAGCCTTGCCCCAGAGGCCCAGTCCGGTCCCACTCCATACTGGTTTTACAAACCACCGGTGTTCAGTTTCCAGATTGGATCTCTGGGAGGTCCACAGCTGGGGTTTGGGAATGTTTTATGATAACCCTGAAGTTGCCCAAGTCCAACCTGTCCCTGAAAGTTCTTGTCTCCGCCCCCCACAAAGGCAAATGCATTGCACAAGCCCCACTTTCCATGCACAGGTAAAGACTTCCTGACAGCATTAGTTTAGGCCTCTAGAAGTTGACGCTCCCTGTTCTGCTTTGGCCCCACCCCGCTGAGGGCTGTGTGGATTGCTCCTGCTCCCCTGTTCCTCCTGCGCGTGGGTCCAGTGATGCTTATCAGCCCTGTGGTTGCCATGTGATCATCATAGCCAGTAAATAACTTTAAAAATGTAATTATTTGAAAGTAGAAAACACAAAAGACAACTCTTTACAAAGAGCTTCTTAGATTCCTTACACTTTCTTACACACCCTTGGTCCTTATATTTCTTACACTTTCTAATACTACACACCTGTCTTTCCTACTTTCCTGAGTACTCCCCCCCCCCCCCCCTTATCTTCCTTTTTTTTCTTTTTCCTTTTCTTTTTTGGCCAGTCATGGGGTTTGAACTCAGAGTCTGGGTGTTGTCTCTGAGCGTTTTTTTCCCCCACTCAAGGCGAGTGCTCTACCACTTTAAGCCATAGTATCACTTCTGGTTTTCTGCTGTGGCTGACTTCAAACTGCAGTCCTCATATCCCAGCCTCCTGAGTAGCTAGGGTGACAGGTGTGAGCCACCTGGGCTTGGCTCCTGATTACTTTTCTTTGTTTTTGTGGTATTGAGATTTGTACTCAGGGCCTCACAATTTATAGGCAAGGCACTTTGCCACATTCTCAGCCCCCTTTTCCTCTTTCTTGAGTTATTTTTCAGGTAGGGTCTCTGTCAGGTGTGTCTCCTGAGTAGGGGATCACAGGCTCACCACCATACCTGGTCTAGTTGTTAAACCAGCTATTATCTTGTTATCTTGCCATTTTCCTGCTGGGCTGAACCTTGACCCTCCTAATCTCTGTTTCCCGAGAGGTTGGGATTTCAGATTTCAGGAAATCACATTTTTCTTTACTCAAGTCCAAGCCAATGAGATCCCTCTTTTTATATTAAAATGTTATAGTGCTATACAGATTGTTCATAGAACATGTATAACAGTTCTTTCTTTTTACTATATAGAAAACCATAGCTGATACTTACTGAATGTTTATATCCTAGGCATTGTTCCATGCTACAGTATCTCATTGAATTTTCATACAGCCCTGAGAGAAAAAACTTTTTATTTTCCCTACTCTACAGATGAGGAATTAGAGATAGAAAAAGGCCAAGTGTCTTTTGTATAGCCACACAGGTAGTGAGTGGGTGTCTTTTCTTTCCCTCTGTAGATTTGTGGGGTACCAATGCTTTGAGTTTGATATCTGCCTCCATTTAGCGTAGTGCTTTGTGGAAGGTGGATCGTTGCTGTCTGCTGAGTAAAGACAGTTATCAGTTGGTGTCATATAGTAGGCATCTTTCTGCCTACCATAGATGTCTAGGCTTTCTTGTGTCAAGTCCAGCAGGCCCAGATGGCTGTTCACAAGAATTTCCATCTGAGATGCATATTTTTATCAAAAATGTTACATTTCCTTAATCAGAAATACCTAGTCATCACTGGAAGGTCCAGCCAGAATGAGATCAGAATGACTAGTAAATGTTATTTTCCAGATTACAAGTTTGTCTCCAGTAGGGCGTGTTAATAACTAAAGAACTCTACATGAACTCAACATGTTTGTTGTTTTGAATAGTTAAGTGTTCAGGAAACTCATGAGGGGCAATGTGCTGTGTGGTTCCTTCTAGAGGCCTGCCTGGATTCGGGGGGGGGGGGGGCGGGGTGCTGATCTAGAAGACATGAAGGCCCAGCTGGCCCCGGTGAAGGAGTTGGCTGGCAGCAAGCTCGGTACCTGCACTGTCACTGTCGTGAGGTAACAAACGTAGTGACAAATGTGAGGAAGCAGCAGATGGCTGCTGCAGTGCTCAGTGTCCTGTGGTTGTTTCTGCAGGGGGGAAAGGAAGTGGTATCTTTGAAGAATCAACTCCTGTGCAGACCCGGCAACGTCTGAACCCACCTGGTGGGAAGACCAGTGACATTTTCGGGTCCCCAGTCACTGCCACTTCACCCTTGGCACACCCAAACAAACCCAAGGTATGGATGACATTCAGATAGCAGACGTAAAAGAAAACAGAGTGGAGCCAAATTCTTAGAAAAGGCTCCAAGGAAGGTGTGACATGACTTAAGAAAAGGCAAGGTGGATGACGCCGAATTTCCTGGTGTTGTCATTTGCTGTTGGGTTGGGAGATCCCCTGAGTCACCCAGGGAACTGGGAACAGGTTCCAGCCTCATGAGGCCCGCCGTCAGCAGTGCGCTGCTCTTCCTGTGCTCCTCACTGTGCCGGAGAGAGGAGGAGAGCACCTGGCACAAATGTGGCTGTACGCTGTTCATTTTGGAAAGAAAGATGATGGCTGATGATGGGTTATTCACCGTAGGATGACGAAGTCCTTGTACTTGATACCAGTGTGCATAGCTACAGCATTCTACACACCTTTGATGCAAGATGAGCACAGTCTCCCGAACAGTAGAAAGATGAGCAAGTACAGATTAGATATCTGTGAGCCCCTGGGCTCCAGGTCCAGTGACAGGGTGAATCCTAGCTTCCCTGTGCACCAGGGCCAGCACAGCCTACCTTGGTATTTGTGGTAGGCCGAGTGGTGGTAGACTTTTCTGTGCTATACTTTGGCTAGAGCTTATCTGTATTAAAGGTGAGGACTTTACTGCCAATTACTAGATTTTTTTTTTTTTTTTGCCAGTCCTGGGGCTTGAACTCAGGGTCTGGGCACTGTTCCCAAGCTTCATTTGCTTAAGGATAGCATACTGCCACTTGAGCCACAGTGGCACTTCCAGCTTTTTCTGTTTATGAAGTACTGAAGAACCCAGTGTTTCATTCATGGTAGGCAAGCACTCTAACACTAAGCCTCATTTCCAGCCCCCTAGAAATACTTTTAAACTATGCTTTTCCACTTATTTTTGTGATCAAAGAACCAGAAGCAAAACAGCATGAACCCAGCAGTGCCCAGTGAAAAATTATATTTTTTGAGAGGACATTAAAATTTAAAAACGATTTAGTATGTGTAAAGCACTTTGGTTTACCAAGTACTGTAGCATTACTCATCCCAATATCCCACAGAGTCCCTAGAATGTGCAGTCCATGAAGGTGAAGGCCTGAGTTTGCTAGTTGTCTCAGCAGAGCATGTATCTCAGAGCATGAAGAGGAGGAATCACCCACTCATTGAGTACCCTGCCATTCATGCTGGTCCTTCATAGAATCCCACATCAAGAGTACTTTAACAGAGGAGTATATTGAGGTTTAGATAGGACCTTCCCGAGTTCTTCAGAGATTTCTTTCTTTGCTGAAGCTACTTTGTCCCTAAGGAATTTGTAAATCAGTTTCCTGTAGTATGTATATGATTTCCCCAGACATAGAAACAAAGCCCAAAACTCAGCTCTACTAAAATGGAGAGCCTGATTTGCAAGGCTGCTCCCATAATCTAGTGTCTTAAGGCGATACAACTTTGGCGTAAAGGTGAGTCAAAATAGCTTAGTTGGCCTGGGAAGGTGGCTTGGTGGTAGAGTGCTTGCCTTGTATGCATGAGGCCCTGGATTCGATTCCTCAACACCACATAAGCAAAAAAGAAAAAAGCCGGAAGTGGCGCTGTGGCTCAAGTGGTAGAGCACTAGTCTTAAACTGAAGAGCTGAGGAACAGCGCCCAGGCCTAGAGTTCAGGCCCCAAAACTGACACACAAAAAAAATAGCTATAATCCTATAATCCTAGCTACTTTAGGAGGCTGGGACCTGAAGATCACAGTTGAAAGCCAGCCCAGGGGGAAAGTCTCCAAGTAACTATCAAAAAAGGCTGGAAGTGGAGCTGTGACTTAAGTGGTAGAACATTAGCCCTGAGCAAAAAGCTCAGGGACAGTGCCCCATGACACACACACACACAAATGTATAGTTCTCTCAAACTGAAAAGCTTTTTCATGTGTGTGTGTCAGTACCAGTACAGGGGCTTGAACTTGGCTTTCCCACTCAAGGATGGCACCTGAGCCTCAGTCACTACCCAATGCCAGCTTTTTGCTAGCTAATTAGAAATAAGAGTCTCACAGACTTTTTTTTTTTTTTTTTTTTTGGTCGGTCATGGGTCTTGACCTCTGGGCCTGGGTGCTGTCCCTCAGTTCTTCAGCTCAAGGCGAGCGCGCTACCACCTGAGCTACAGCGCCACTTTTGGTTTTCTAGTGGTTTATTGGAGATAGGAGTCTCATGGGATCCTCAGATCTCAGCCTCCTGAGTAGCTAGGATTACAGGCATAGCCACCAGCGCCCGGCTTCTCACAGACTTTTTAACCTTGGCTGTCACCCTCCTGAGTGAATAGGATAAAGTCTCCGTTTTTAGCGTGGGCCAGCCTGGACTCTCATTCTTTGATGTATGCCTACTGCATAGCTGGCATGACAGACGCACGATACACTCAGGGTTGTTGTTATGGTAAAGGTGGCACACAGAGTCACTCAGCTTTGTAATGGTTGAGGTGGAGGTCTTGTGAGCTTTTTGTCCAGTCTGGCCTTGAATCACAGCTCTTCCTACCTCAGCCTCCCAAGTAGTTTAATTATAGGCATGAATCACCACACACAGCTAAAAGAAATTCTCAACCATTTCTGGATAAATGAAATATCTAAATATCTTAAGAATTGGTGGGGTCTAAGGCTAGGTGATAAGGGTGAGAGACAGAAGACAGTGGATGTCATTGAAGCAGTTAGCAGGCTACATGGGACTTACTGTGTGACTCCATCTGCTTTGTTTTGGTAGCACAGAACCCAGACTCTCTTGGCTAGCCCAGCCCTCTACTGCTTATGATTAAATCATCCATGATAAAATCATGTTTTAAATGTAGCTGGGGGGGGGGGGGACAGGGGAAGGGAAAGGGTAAATGAGTAAAATAAGTGAGTACTTTATGTATATGTGAAAATGGAACCGTGAAACCTATTAAGATTAGTTTAAAAGGCAGGAGGGGGAGGTAAGACATCGGTAGAGAGATATTGTTAGGCTATATGGGAGTATCACAGTGGAATACCCCTAACTAATTTTTGCTAATAAAAATGTTTGCTTTAGGGCTGGGAAGGTGGCTTAGTGGTAGAGTGCTTGCCTTGCATGCCAGAGGCCCTGGGTTCAATTCCTCAGCGCCACATAAGCAAAAAGAAAAAAGCCAGAAGTGGTGCTGTGGCTCAAGTGGTAGAGCGCTAGCCCTGAGCTGAAGAGCTGAGGGACAGAGCCCAGGCCCAGAGTTCAGGCCCCACAACCGGACCCCCAAAAAAAAAAAAAAAATGTTTGCTTTAGCTGGGTGCCTGTAATCCTAGCTACTCTGGAGGCTGAGATTTGAAGATTGTGGTTCAAAGCCAGCCTGGGCAGTAATGTCCATGAGACTCTTATCTCCAATGAACCTGCCAGAAAACCAGAAGTGGCGCTGTTGCTCAAGCCGTAAAACACTAGCCTTGGGCTGAAGAGCTCAGGGAAAGCGCCCACGCCCAGAGTTTAAGCCCCATGACCAACTGAAGAAAAAAAAAAAGTTTGCTTTAAGTTAAACAGATTGTTCATGTCCTGGTCTTCATTGTCCACTAGAATGAGTACTGACCTGGTGGTCTGTCTGGTTGCAGGACCATGTTTTCCTGTGTGAAGGAGAAGCCACAAAATCTGATCTTACAGGTGAGCTTGATCCCTGCCTTTGTCCTGTGTGGCGTCACCTTGGGAGCAGAGCGTTGGTGGTGTGCCTGGCAGCACAGAAGGGCATGTCCCTCTGTACCTTCCAGGCAGTCACAGTGTGTGCATTGTTGAGGAAGGCTGGGGACACGGTGGTTATTTCTGGACAAATGTTTATATTTTCTTTGCCTCATCAAGTCAGCCGTGCGCCAGTGGCTCACGCCTGTAATCCTACCACTAAGGAGCCTGAGATCTGAGGATTGAGGGTCAAAGACAGCCCGGGCAAGAACTTTACAAGTATCCACCTCCAAAAGTAACCAGCCAGCCACCAAGCTTGGAGTGTGCTCAAGTAGTAGCACAACAGCTAGGAAGACAAGTGACCACGAGGCTCTGAGTTCACACACCAGTACCGGTGTGTGCCGGGGGCGGGGCGGGGACATAGAGGAAAACATGAAAGGAGCGTTTAGTCATCCTTAACTTTGCCACATTTCCAGAGCTGCATCTGCTAATCAAGCGGAGTTCTCTTGGTGCAGGAGAGAATGAATGCTTGGCTTACTTTCTCTCCCGGCACCATGTGAAGGCTTGATGAGCTGTTATGAGGCTGACCTTAGTGCAGCTTGCCTGACAAAATAGTGACTGAAAGGCAAATGCGACCCAAGCAGAAAGTAACCGAGAAGACCTCACAGACAGAAGTCACCTAGAGGAAAAGATTTACTGCCAGTAGAGCCAACAAGGCCAAATTCTCATTAGGAAAGTCGAGAATGGCGCCCTCTGGCTCCTTGGAGGCCCCTTTTGGGGGAGGAGGGTGGAAGTGCCCCACCTACTGCCCAGGAGCTGCCATTGAGGGAGAGATTAGGTCTGGGAGGTGGGTGTTTCCTTAGAGTGGCTGCCACTAATAGACATTGTACGGGCTTTGTCTCACAGCTGCAACCCATGCCGTGCCCCGAGAAGAGCCTGGTGAGAAGGGGAACTCCCAAGGAGACCATGCCAAGGCACCTGAGCCCATACCTGCGGTGGACAGCCATGAGCCCAGGCTGGGGCCCCGGCCTCGCTCCCACAACAAGGTCCTGAATCCTCCAGGAGGCAAATCCAGCATCTCCTTCTACTGAGAAGCGCCTGCTTTGCCTGTAGCCAGACCAGACACTTGAGAGATAGGGGATTGAATGTTAGAGTTTCCTTTCATGCAAACTAGTGGATGGGAGAGGGTTATTGCACATGAGGCTGGCTGCTTAGTGGCTTTGTTGCCCTCTTAAGAGCCACCCAGAGGACTGTGCCTTCTAGGCTGCTGTGGAACACATTTAGGGATAAAATGGGACTCTTGGTATCCATGCATTGGTGGTTCTCTATGGAGCAAAACGAAGATGAGAGAAGAAATGTGGCAGGACCTTCCCTGTCTGGGTATCAGCAATCTGCTGGCTGGCCGGGCATCCAGGGACAGATAAAAGAAACCCAAACAACCTGTCTGTCCCTGGGGAAACGTGGGAGCGAAGTGTAAATGGAAATACTGCAAAGCTGGTCTCTGCCTTAAACACTCCCTGGTAGGGAGTGCCGCTGCCAGCATGGCCTTCCCTCCCAAGATTACCTTTCCATCTTACACCCAGTGTAGTGTCCTGCAGTCTTGAAACCGGTTCTCAGTCTTCTGCTTTGTGGAAGATTTTTATACACTAATTCTCTGAATTGTCCATTCCTGAATCTAAAACAATGGCCCAGTCTCACAAATCTTCGGGGGCTGGCTCTGCTCCTTGTGATGCCAGGTTTGCTTCTAGATTGTTCTTTTTGTTTGTCTCATCAACCCTAAGTCTAGGCCCCCTTCCACAGTTCTTTCTACACAAGACCTCTAGACTCCACAGAACTTAAAACATTCAGATATTTCCAAGTACTGGGCTTAATCCGTTTCTTCCTTTCTGTTCTGTTCCTGTAGTTGGTGGGAAGATGTGCATGAGAACCTTGGGTTTGTAGGTTGGTTTCTTTAATAATACCTGAAAAGTTGTTTTTAAATAACAGCTTCTCGTAAATGCCCATAGACTCAATTCCTAACATCTGGGGGTGGGGGAGAGTCCCTTTCTCAGGCACACCAAAGAAGAAAAAGAGCTTTTCCAGCCCCCTGTGGAAAGCTTGGTAGCCTCTGGAACACATTCACAAATTCTGCTCCTTCGGCCAGGATGTTAAGTAGTCTGCCAACAGAGATACTGTGCTAGCACAAGTTGTGTTGCATCTTCTGCCTGGTAGAGATCTCTGCTCAGTCCAGAAGGGCTGCAGCCTCCATTCCCTACTTCCCTCCCGCCTGGTGGATAACAGTTAACAGGAGAGGTTCTGGATGCTGCTATTGCTCCTGTCTGCAGAGTTCACACCAGATGCCAGGTGTCATTGTTATTAAGCTTAAGAAAAGCAACAGCTTGTACAGTCACACTGTTTGCTTAACTTCATAAGTGCCTGCAGGAGCTCTGTTTGCTAGTCATGACCTGTTGAGAGGTCTGCACCAGGCTTTGTCAACCAAAGAGTCCCCCACCCCCCTTCAGTTGTCCTGCAGACTCTGGAGCCAAGAAACAAGTATTTCATGTAATGGTCAGATTGCAAATGGGTTATAGTTAAAATCATTTATAAGGATATCATTTCACATTCAGGTCATGTTGTTTTTTGCTGTTTAAAAGAATTGTCATAAATGTTTCTTAACTTTTTAAACCAAAACGCAGTAACTTGTTTAACTTACCAGCAAATACTGATGGTAGCAATGAACATTTTGTGATGTTTTCTTAATGAGAACTTGACTTGTGAATTCTGAATTGGACTGCCAAGAAATTCAATGTTAATTACTGTGTTGGTACAGTGGAAGGTAACTGTCCAGTTCTGCCCACTGATGGGGACTTGTGGGTGGAGAAGGGGAACCTACAGCCGCAGCCCAAGGTACCCTCGACTCCCTGGGCAGCAGAGTGCCCTGCCTTACTTTCCCTTTCTCCCCCTTGTCTCCCTGTGGGGCTGTGGGTTGGGCTTAGGGCCGAAGCAGTGCAGAGGATCATCTGAGCCAGTTACCATTTGCATGGGACCTCTGGAATGCCTGGGTGCGGATGAATACTGTTCTCACCATCTTTGTCGCCTTGAGAAATTACTAGTCTGTATTAAGCCTTAAAACTTCTTTTAAGTGCATTTGGTGCCAACTTTTTTCTACAGCTGTATGAAAACAAGAAACCTGTCCTCACATCACAATGCAATTTTGATAGGAGCATTTTGTTATTTTTATGAAGTAGAACAGGCTATAACAACCGAATTAAACGTAGTTAACCGAGTTCAGTCTTGGCCTATTCTTCTGTGCTTGTTCTCGGCAGTCGGCGCAGGACCCTGGCGGCTCTCCCGCCGTCGCGGGAGCGCCTGTGAGCGCGGCGCTCGGGCAGGGCCGCCCAGGATGCCGGCTTGTGTCCGTGCGGCCACGGGCAGGGCCGAGGCGCGGCCGCGAGCGCGGGCCGCCCGGGGGCGAGCGCGGCCGCCCGGGGGCGAGCGCGGGCCGCCCGGGGGCGAGCGCGGGCCGCCCGGGGGCGAGCGCGGCCGCCCGGGGGCGAGCGCGGCCGCCCGGGGGCGAGCGCGGCCGCCCGGGGGCGAGCGCGGCGCAGCGGCCGGCGCCTGACGTCATCGCGCGGGGCGGGGCACCACCACGCCGGGAGGCGGGACTTCCGGCGGGCCAGTGACGGGCGCGGCCTGGGCAGCGGCGGCGGCGACGCAGCCTGAGGCGACAGCGGCTGTCCCGTTCTCTCTGCGGCCTGCGGACCCGGGCGGCCGGAGCGGGCCGCGCTGGCGGCCACCATGATGGAGATCCAGATGGACGAGGGCGGCGGCGTGGTGGTGTACCAGGACGACTACTGCTCCGGCTCGGTGATGTCGGAGCGCGTGTCGGGCCTGGCGGGCTCCATCTACCGCGAGTTCGAGCGCCTCATCCACTGCTACGACGAGGAGGTGGTCAAGGAGCTCATGCCGCTGGTGGTGAACGTGCTGGAGAACCTGGACTCGGTGCTGAGCGAGAACCAGGAGCACGAGGTGGAGCTGGAGCTGCTGCGCGAGGACAACGAGCAGCTGCTCACGCAGTACGAGCGCGAGAAGGCGCTGCGCAGGCAGGCCGAGGAGGTGCGCGGGCCGGGGGCCGGGGAGGTGCGCGGGCCGGGGGCCGGGGAGGTGCGCGGGCCGGGGGCCGGGGAGGTGCGCGGGCCGGGGGCCGGGGAGGTGCGCGGGCCGGGGGCCGGGGAGGTGCGCGGGCCGGGGGCCGGGGGCCGGGGAGGTGCGCGGGCCGGGGGCCGGGGGCCGGGGAGGTGCGCGGGCCGGGGAGGTGCGCGGGCCGGGGAGGTGCGCGGGCCGGGGGCCGAGGAGGTGCGCGGGCCGGGGAGGTGCGCGGGCCGGGGGCCGGGGGCCGGGGAGGTGCGCGGGCCGGGGGCCGGGGGCCGGGCCGAGGAGGTGCGCGGGCCGGGGAGGTGCTCGGGCCGGGGAGGTGCGCGGGCCGGGGAGGTGCGCGGGCCGGGGGCCGGGGGCCGGGCCGAGGAGGTGCGCGGGCCGGGGAGGTGCGCGGGCCAGGGAGGTGCGCGGGCCGGGGAGGTGCGCGGGCCGGGGGCCGAGGAGGTGCGCGGGCCGGGGAGGTGCGCGGGCCGGGGGCCGGGGGCCGGGGAGGTGCGCGGGCCGGGGGCCGGGGGCCGGGCCGAGGAGGTGCGCGGGCCGGGGAGGTGCGCGGGCCGGGGAGGTGCTCGGGCCGGGGAGGTGCGCGGGCCGGGGAGGTGCGCGGGCCAGGGAGGTGCGCGGGCCGGGGAGGTGCGCGGGCCGGGGGCCGGGGAGGTGCGCGGGCCGGGGAGGTGCGCGGGCCGGGGAGGTGCGCGGGCCGGGGAGGTGCGCGGGCCGGGGAGGTGCGCGGGCCGGGGGCCGGGGGCCGGGGAGGTGCGCGGGCCGGGGAGGTGCGCGGGCCGGGGAGGTGCGCGGGCCGGGGGGGGTGCGCGGGCCGGGGGGGGTGCGCGGGCCGGGGGGGTGCGCGGGCCGGGGGGGTGCGTGGGCCGGGGGCCGGGGGCCGGGGGGGTGCGCGGGCCGGGGGCCGGGGGCCGGGGAGGTGCGCGGGCCGGGGGCCGGGGGCCGGGGAGGTGCGCGGGCCGGGGGCCGGGGAGGTGCGCGGGCCGGGGGCCGGGGGCCGGGCCGAGGAGGTGCGCGGGCCGGGGGCCGGGGGCCGGGCCGAGGAGGTGCGCGGGCGGGGCGCCGGGGGCCGGGGAGGTGCGCGGGCCGGGCCGAGGAGGTGCGCGGGCGGGGCGCCGGGGGCCGGGGAGGCCGTGGGGGCCGAGGCCGGGGCGGGGGCAGTGCAGGCCCGGGGATGCTGAGGCCCGCACGCGTCGGGGGAGAAAGCGGCCGAGGCCCAGCGCGCGGTGTGGCCGCTGGCCACTCCCCTGTGAGCGGTCCTCCGGGTCGCTGCAGGGCAGCGCTGTGCGTTCCTCTCCTCCGTAGGCAGACCCGCAGCCTGGCCTTGGCGGAACTCGGAGACCTGGGCTCCCTCTCCGCTCGCCTGTGACCTTGGCCACTCGGCTGGCCACTCAGGGTTTTGATTTTCCCTCTCACTCTGAGGAGCGAGTTGCAACCCCAGAAATTCGGCTCTTTGAGGGTGAAGGAGGTATTACTTAGATCCATGATAGAGCCTTCTTAAATGATGTTAAATTGCTCTTCACTTGTCTTAGACTCCTAGAGACTAGGATTGAAAAGTGTTTTGGTAGTTTGGCTCGCTCTTAAACTAGGGTGGCTTGTGTCTTCGCTTGGATCAAATGGTATTTATCTTGAATCATTCTTATTTGTCATACTCTGCTTTTGGCTCTCGGTGTCTGTGGAGGGGCTGTTGTCTATCAGCTGGGATGGTCAGGCTCCATTCAAGATTGTCAGGCTGTATTTAAGAGCAGCTGGTGCGTGAGAGTTCAGGATGATCTCAGGCCTTTATTGGAGAAGGAATGAGGTCCTAAGAGGTGGAGGAGCTGGGCCAAGGTTACATGCCTCCACAGGTACCATTCCAAATTCAGAGTGTGCCCTAGAGCCTCGCCTGGACTCTTCCTTCTCGGTCACATTGCAGTAGGGGTTGAGCCCCACCACTGCTCCCCCAGAAGTTTGGAATGCTGGGTTCTTCTGGCTCTGCCTTGGGGCTGTGGTCACCTCCCTGTGCTGGGCAGCCCACGCCACTGCGCTGAGCAGGATCTGCTCTGGGTCCTCCTTCAGTACCTGAACCAGACACCAGGTGTGTTTCTTTTCTTCATCCTGCATCTATCTGTGTGGTCAAAATAATGGATAAGGAGCGACTTAAAGAAGAAAACCAACGTGGAGAGCATGAAGCTTGAGTGGTAGCCTTGTGGCTTAGCAATGAGCTCTGACCAGAGTAGGCACCCTGCTCTGTGCAGCCCTCCCTCTTATGCTCAGGATGGACCGAGACCACTGGGCATCTGTAGTTTGCAGACAGTGTGGTAATGCCAAGACTCCCCACTGCCCCTGCTATTTCAAGAAGCTGCACAGAAGCTTCATGAGCAGAGCAGAAACAAACCAATGCTGGGCTGGCCAAGTGAAGGCTGTGGTTAAATTCTCCTAGCATGCCCTTGGAAAGACCTCAGGAGATGTTACAACTGAAGAAAAGGGCTAAATACTATAGATATTATTAGGTATTCTCGTACCTTTATGGAATCAAGCCGACATTTTCAGTTTTGTGGAAGAGACCACTGTGCACTACAGGCCAGCTCTTTTTCTAGATGGGGCCTGGTGATCACAGAGGTGTGTAAGCCCCGGAGCTGAAGCAGGCAGTGGTGCAGAGGAGCTGCCGTCAGCACACGCTGTCCCTTCCACTCCGCTCAGTTAGGCTCCGTCAGAGGTGGGTAACCTGATCCACCAACAGCCTCTGAGAGAATCTGCCTTGAGCAGGGCATCCTTCACTTCTTGCCTATAATAACCATAGTGAGGTTCCTGGTAAGGCCCCTCTGGGATCCTGGCAGAGGGTCTCAATCCCTGGAGTCTTCAGGTACCAGCCTGGATTGCACATCCACTGAGTTTCTCCCGGTCTCCAGGCCAGCGTCCACCCTCGTCAAGTGAGTGGGTTGCCAGAGGTGACAAGCTAGTTCCATCTCCAGTGCCCTGAAGAACTACGGCAAGGGGCTTTAGCACAGCCCAGTGGGGGCTTGGCAAGCCTTGCGTCTCATGGACTGTGCCTGGTAGTTGTGATTTGGACAGTTTCTGATTGGACAGGTTCTGGTACAAAATGGTTTGACTGCTAGCACCAAGAGGACCACCCATGATCTTATAAATCTTGGAGGGAGGCTGTGTTTACTGTGTTCCCAGGCAGCAGAGCCTCTTTCCTTATCATGATCAAACACTTAAACTATAAGAGGAAAAATAATGAGGAACAGTATTAGTCATTATTTGCCTTAAATTATTCTATTCTAAAACAAAAAACAAACCCCCCCCCAAAAAAAAAAAAAACTGCTCATAGCAGCCCTCCACTCATCCCAAGCATCTCAGGCAGGTTCTCTGGCCATGAGACATGTATGCAGATATCAGCTGATGATTTGGTTTTTATGCTATGTGAAGAAAGCATGCAAACAGAGGAAAATTAATTTTTTTTGGCCGGTCATGGGGCCTGAACTCTGGGTCTGGGTGCTGTCCCTCAGCTCTTCAGCTCAAGGCTAGTGCTCTACCACTGGAGCCACAGCGCCACTTCTGGCTTTTTCTGCTTATGTGGTGCTCAGGAATCGAACCCAGGGCCTCATGCTTGCAAGGCATGCACTGTACCACTGAGCTACCTTCCCAGCCCCAACAGAGGAAAATTTTTGTTGTTAATACTGGGGCTTGAAGTTGGACCCTTACACTCTCCCTTGGCTTTTTTGGTCATGAGGCTTGAACTTGGGGCCTGGGTGCTGTCCCTCAGCTCTTTTGGGGCAAGGCTAGCGATCTACTACTTTGAGCCTCAGTGCTACTTCCAGTTATCTGGTGGTTAATTGGAGATAAAAATCTCATGGACTTTCCTGCCTAGACTGGCTTTTGAACTGTGATTCTCAGACCTCAGCCTTCTGAGTAGTGAGGATTACAGATGTGAGCCACCAGCACCAGGCTTTCCTTGGCTTTTTCTCTCAAGGCTGGCTCTCTACCATTTGAATCACATCTCTACTTTTGGCATTTTGCTGGTTAGTTGGAAATAACTAAGAGTCTCAGACTTTTTTTTTTTTTGTCATGGGGCTTGAACTTGGTCTGGGTGCTGTCCCTGAGCTGTTCAGCTCAAGGCAAGCGCTCTACCACTTGAGCTATAGC